GCAATCAGCCCCGGGGATCCCCACTGCAAAGGCCTTCAGCAGTACAGCTCCTGGCTAACAAGCACACATTTGCTATTGATGCCTTTGGTGCAAAACAGGCTGGCTTGGCATGCCAAGACAAATATTCAGGGGCAACATGAAAAGTAGATCTAGAAAGACCATCGGCAGCAGCAGCTCTGAGCTTCCTTCATCTGTGGACACTGAAAACTGATAGTTCCACCCTTCTTTGCAGCAATATCATGATTTATACAAATACTGTTATCATTATCTCCTGCCAGCTTCCAAATGAGGATGTCATACCAGCAGTGTTGATCTGAATCAGCCAGACATGTAATCATGCTGAAGGTGATGACAAGTTTGCAAAGCAATACTTTCCTTACCTGAGACAAGGATATCAGTAGTAAATACATTTTTCAGCATTTAATTCTCTGCTGATAGAATCAAAATTAAATCTGCTGTTATTTCTTTCTGGTATTATCAGTAATCTAGAATTTTCTGGGTCAACCAGTTTATTTGCTTAATGACTGTAGTGATGTCTGTTCTTCAGTCCTTTGGAATTACCCCAGTTTTCCCAGCTCTGTTAAAAATTGCCATCAGCAGCTCAGCAAGACCCTCAATTAGGCCCACTAATGCTCTCAGTGTGGGCCTGACAGACTGCAAATGTCAATTATAGCAGGTAATGCGTTACATGTGGGTTTGTTACAGATGGTATCCAAACTGCAGTCTTCTCTTTGCATCCACAGCACTCAATGGCACTCGCTCTCCAAGGTTCCGCTCTTGCACTGGTAGTTAGGCACTGTGGGCTATGAAAAACCAAAGAAAGCTGTTTTCTGGCATTCTTTTTTCCTCTTTCTTGTTTTCTTATCATGCAAATGAATATGCTTCATCTCCTTTTTGTTATTTGGTCCTTCTTGGCTCATTATTAGCCTTTGAGCCATGCCTAGGTGAAGACAATGGGCCATGGCTGGGCTTGTAGCTGGAGGGTGTGGTGAGGACCAGACCCCTGTCCTGTGGCACTAGCCTAGCCCTAGCCTGTGACCCCAGTCCTACCAGGCACTGCAGAGAATCCTGGCCAAGTCAGATGAACACGAGGGTTGTGGAGCTTAGGAGAATGTGGGCGTGGACATGTTGGTGTGCATGAGAAAAATCAGGATTTCCTTCACAATAGAATCCCTTCCTGTCCAGTGTCAGCTGCAGCTTCTGCTCCCCTCTGCAGCTGGAGGGTTCCCTAGCATATGGAGGGGGTGTGTGATATCAGTCTATTCATTATTTTTCATCTCACTTCCCCTGGGATCTGATCCAGGCCATGCAGCTCCCAGCTTCACCGTGGATGAGTTTGGGGTGTTCTGCTCCTGTGCACCACAGTGTTATCCAGCCCAACCTGTCACCAACCACGTGCCAGGGATGGTGGTAAAACCCTGCTGCCATGAAGCTTAGCTGCTCCCTTGGCCTGTGTGCCTGCTCATCATAGATAACCTATTTAGTCATGGGCTTCTGCCACCTCTGCCAGCCTCTGACTCTGTTGATTTAAAATCTGCAAGCACCTCGGTTTTGCAGGGTTTTGGCTGGGCCAGCAGCCCCATTGTCAGCACACGCAAGCATCCCTGCAAGGCAGAGCCTGGGACGCACAGCCTGGGTCTGTCACATTGCTCAATCTGGCTCAAAGTCATCGCCCTGCTTGAACAAAAGTCACCCTGAGTTTGTTGTTTCTCACTTCTCTGTTCTGCTATGCAAACTAAAAGCAGCTGCATGACTTTGCCTCCCTGGATTCTCCCTAGTCTCTAGAAGGTACAATTCTAAAACAGCCAGCTGATATGAGAACAGAGTGGACAAGAAGGAGATGGGCAGGTGGCTGAGAGCCTGGACACCAAGCCAAACATGCACAGCATTAAAAACATGAAGGTGTGAAGAAATTAGCTGTGCAGGGAAGTTAGGGAGAGTGGACAGGCCTTTTTGGATGAGACAGCAGGACTGTGAGTAAAAGAACCAAGGTGAATTTTTAAAACAGGGGTCCTGCTCTTCACCAGCCCCCTGTACTTGGGGGTCCCCACCCTGATGCAGCCCTTTCAGGGGTGAGCAAGCCCTGGAGCTCCCACTGACCCCTTTTCTGGGGGCTGCACTGGTGCTATGGCCATACCAAAAGATGGCTAGCATCACCATCTGTCCTAGAGGCAGGCAGGCAGAGGAAGGTGGCACAGAAATGGCACCCAGCAGCCTGCCTCACTCTGCTCAAACTCTCTCACTCCGTCCTAGTGGCTTTGGCTTCTGCTCCTCCCCTGCTGCAGCTCCACTGCGAGGAATAGGGACCTTTCGTTGGGGAGTGGGGAGAAGAGGAAGGGAATCAGCTGCATGAGATGAGGGGAGCAGCAGGCACACGACTTGCTGAGCACTTCATAGCTCAGAAATTGCCAAGAATACAATTTTTCAGTACATAACTGCCAATTTTCTTGAGGCTATGAAAGGGCTTGTGTTTTCTTGTGGAAATCAAAAGCTGAAATGTTGTGCAGTGCTGTAAAAAATATATCTCTTAATTTGTGGTTTGCATAATAATATAGCATAGGTTTATGAGGCAATCTTGTTGGCTTCCTGAGAGATTGGGTAACCAGAATAAAAACATTTGGTCCGTTGGGGTCCTGCTTTGCTCGCCCAAAACCTCTTTCCTCAGAAAGCCTCAAGAGTATTTCATGAGCATTTTTGAGACCCTGGAAAGCAAAAAACAAGCTTGCAAGACAGCGATCCCCAGAATTTGTTAAGAAATAAGGGTATTCTTGAGACACACTCAAGATGTCTGTGCTTGATTCAAAGCTGATGTGAGCCAAGTTGGTACATCAGGACTTCAGGCAGACCTAAGAGAAAAGGGCAGGCAAAGAGGGCAGGGTGCTGCAGCTGAAGGTGAGGCACCAGTGGGCAATGGGCTACTTTCATTTGGCTGCTGCCAGGTTTGAGTAGCAGAGTGACTGTGGCAGGTCTGGGACGAGGTGTTGCTGATACACATCTTCTCTCCTACCAGTGCTGTGGTGGGCTACTGCCCAACTCTCCACGGCCTCCCCTAAGAATATTGGGGAGGTGTCAATCCTCCTCACTCCATATCCTGATCTCAAGGGTGAAGGAAACTTCTGCCATGAAGGCATCAGCAGTGTGCTCCCCCGGCTCCAGATACACATCCAGCACGTGGAGTTCTCTCCCGTCCCAGCACAGAGGAGATCTGTCGTCTCGGGGGCCTCCTTGTCCTCACATCAGCTGCAAAAGCCACGGAAAGAAAAGCAAGGTTCCAAGACTCGGCTACGTTCTGGTGGCTCCTCCTCAGCCTCCCAGCAGCAGGATGGGATCCCTGTGAAGCAGCCTGTGGCTCCATCTAGTGCCCATGCCGGCTCCGCACCCATTGCCGGGCAGATGGGCCCAACCAGAGCCCCTGGCTACAGGCAGCCCCCCAGGAACCCCCTCCCTGCCCGTGGGCAAACAGGTACAGGAGGACAGTGCTGCAGTGGCATTCAGGAGAAAGTCCCCAGTGGCAGGAAATACTCCAAGCCGTTGCTCAGGGAAATCATCAAGTAGCTGTCTGATGACAATAGTCTCCCATCCCTTGGAGAGAGAAATGCCTTTGACACACGAGATGGTGCCCTTGGCATTTCATCCACCCCGGGTACACGACTCATGGCTGGGGAAGGCTCTTCTCGGGGATATCTGTCCTGAAACTTGTCCCGGAGGAGTGCTGGGAATGGCCTGTCTCAGGTTCGGGTCTCCTGATTCTGCCAGCCTTCCCAGCTAGGAATTTATGGGAATTGAGGAAGATTCCTGCTGTGTGTAGGTGTGGCAGTGGATCCAAAAAGCTCTGACCCTGCAGAGAGATCAAGCTCCCTCCTTCTCCCATCTAGGCCGCAAGAGGGAATCACAGATCTCCGTGGCGAGGACACACTCAGAGGTGCAGGTGAGCGAGACCGCCCAAGACCCTGAGAATGGGTGAGCACAGTCCCTCTGCAGCAGCTGAGGCTGCAGGGGCCATGAACGAGAAAAGTCAACAACGCAGCTCCTAATGCACGGTCCCGCTTCTCCGGGGGCCTGGGCACCCTGGCGCTCCCGGCTGCCGGTGCCGCACCGGCGCCAGGCAGGGACCCGTGCCCGCCTGTCGGGCAAGCTGCGCCCCGTCACGTCCCCCGCCCCGACAAAGCGCTGAGTCACCTCAGCTGTCCCCCCCGGCCGGCTCCTCCTTCCCGGCGGGACCGGCCGGGCAGCTGACTCGGCGGGACGCCAGCGGCACACGGCGCCGGGGGCTGCGGCCGTGCCCCGGTGCGGTGCGCAGTCAGCAGCGCCACCAGCGGGACAGCTCGGTGTCGCCGCATCGGCACCTCGCCGGCGCTGTCCGGGGCCCAGGCGCGGCCCCGGGAGCGGAAGAGCAGGCGCGGGGACGGACACCGGGCTGAGGCGGGCCCGATCGGCGGAGCGGCCGCGCTCGCGGCACAACGCGCCTCCCATTACGTCACCCGGCGAACGGCGAGCCCGTGACGCCAGGGGCCGCGGTTGGCTGCGGCCGCCGCCCGTCACGCAGCGGCGCCGCCTCCAGGCCCGCGGTGGCCCGGGCGCGGGGGACGCGCGACACCGGCCGCGGGCGGCCCGGGCGGGCGGGGAGGGCTCGGCGGCGGCGCTCAGGTGGGCTCCGGAGCGGGACGGGGGGAGCGGGGCGCGAGGGACCATCGGGGAGCGGCGGCCCGTGGCGCACGGGGGGAGCGGGGCCAGCGCTGTCCCTCGCCGTGCCGCCGCCACCGCCCCTCCCGGTGCCCCAGATCCGCTGGCCGCGGCCCAGGGCCGCCCGCCGGTGGCGGCGGGGCGGGGGACGGAAACTTCCAGCAGCAGCGGG